TATTTGAAAAACTTCAAAAAGTGCACTTTCGTTTTCCCCTTATATCTTTGGATTATTGTTGTCATACATTTTATTTCTACATATGTTATAAGCTCCACAATTCATTGTTACTTTGTTTTTGATGATACTTGAAAATCTGAAAAAGGAAAATCTTTTACATTTACCCACATATTTGCCATTTGCAGTGCCCTTCCTTTGTTCAGATCTGAGTTTCCATCTGTATTATTTTCTTTTAGCCTGAAAAACTTCCAACATTTCTTGTAGTGAAGATCTAGTGGCAATTAGTTCTCTCAGCTTTTGTTTGTTGAAAAATCTCTTTATTTCCCCTTCATTTTTAAAGGCTGTTTTTGCTAGCTGTCAAATTGTAGGTAGATAGTTTCTATCTTTTAGCATTCTAAAGATACCTTTCTGTAGTATTGTGAGAGATTAGATCTATCTTGTATGGTTTCTAATGGGAAGTCAGATGTCATTCTTAGCTTTGTTCACCTGTATGTAGTGTGCCCGTCTCAGTCCATTCCTGCATCTATAACAAAATACCTTAGACTGGGGTGACTTATAAACAACAGAAATTTATTGATTATGGTTTGGGAGGCTGGGAAGTTCAAACTCCAGTTGCCAGCAGATTTGGCATCAGGTGAGGGCTCTCTGCTTCATAGACGGCACACTGTTGTGTCCACGTGGTGGAAGGGGTGGAAGGCTCCCTCAAGCTTCTTTTATAAGAGCGCTAATTCCATTCATGGGGCAGAGTCCTCATGATTTAATCATGTCTCCAAAAGGCCCCACCTCTTAATACCACCACATTTGGAATTAGGTTTCAACATAATTTTGGAGGGACACAAACATTCAACAGCTTTTTTGCTCTGGCTGCTTTATAAGATTTTCTTACTGGTTTTCAGCGATTTGATGATGATGATTTGCCTTGGAGTGGTTTTCTTGGGATTCTTGATCTGTGGGCTTAGAAACTTAAACAAATTTGGAAAAATTTTAGCCATTATTTGTTAAATATCCCTCCTTCGCCACTTTTTGGTACTCAAGTTACACATAAATTAGACTCGTTGATACTGTCCCATACGCCACTGAGGCTCTGCTCTTTCTTTAGTTCATCCATCTTTTTTCCTGTGGTGTCTCTTGTGCTGTTAGGTTTAATCAATGAATTTTTCATTTCAGTTACTATATTTTTCATCTCTAGAAGTTGTTTGATCATTTTTCATATCGTCCATTTCTTATTTTGTTGATAGTTTTAATTCTTGAACATGTTTATAATAGCTGTTTTAAAATCATGTGCTCACTCCATCATTTTTGTCATTTCTGAGTCTGTCTCTGTTAACTGATTTTTTTTCTTCCCAGGTATGGGTCACATATTCCTGCTGCTTCACATGTCTAGCAGTTTTTTATTGGACACTGTATGTTGTGAATGTTGTTATATCATTAGGTATCTCAATTTTGTTGTCTTTCTTTAAAGAGAGTTGAGTTTTATTTTGGAAAGCAGTTAAGTCAAAGATTGATCCTTGCTAGGCTAGGTGTTAAACACTTTTAGGGTAGGCTTCTAGAATTTAGCTAAGGCCTGACCCTTCTCAGATCTCTACTGAATGCCTGAGATTCGCAGTGAAGTCTCTGGCTGGTTGGAATTCAGATATCTCCCAGGTGGATGTGAACTCTAGGAATCGTTCAGTTTTAAGTTCCCTAGTTATTTTTTCTCCAATAGTTTGTCTTTTCCCAGCCTTACGGAGTTTCACCCTACCAGTTGGTATTCGGTTGAAGACTCAGGAGACCCCTATGCAGATTTTTGGAGCTATTTTGATGTGTGTAGCTCCTTCCTATCTGGTACTCTGCCTTGCAAATTCCAGCTACCTCATCCTCCCCAAATCTTGAACTCTGACTCCTCAAATTATTTAGCTCACTGTGTTCTGCTTAGGTTCTCTCTCAGAACCGTAGCCTGGAAAATACCTCCAAGTAGAAAGCCAGAGCCTTTAAGGACTCACCTCTGTGGTTCTTTTCTCTCAGAGATCACAATGCTAGCTGTTGTTCAGTGTCTGAAGTAGTTGATTCATATAGTTTATCGAATTTTCTGGTTCTTTAGAATGAGAAGGCAAGTGTGGTACTAGTTGCTTCCTCATGGCCTGAATGCAAAAGTTGAGATCTCATTCAATTCCCACTGCAGGCTCTTTCCAGTTTGCCTAGTAGTTGCATAAACATTTTGCTGAGCATACACATTTTTGCAAGCTAAGGGAAATACTAAACAGTTTCAATTCCTGACCTCATCGAACCCAATCAAGAGGTTAGACCAAGAAAATAATTCCAACAGGAATCTGGACCACTCCTTTATACCACTCCTACACTAGAGATGTTCTACTTCGGTCTGTTAAGAAAGTCACATTCTGATGACCTTTACCCTGCATACCTTTTCCTATGATAACTGTTAGAATTTTTATTTTTGAATCACAGATACTGTAATTCAGTATTTTGCTTTTACTAGGCTACAAGTGGTTTTTATTGCTTTTACTTTGTGTGATGGGAATGGAACACAGATATATTTGAAAAAAACTTTTTATTATGTAAGTAATACATTTTTATTGTAGACAGGTTCAGAAAACATACATTGCCCATCATCACTGTAATCCTGCTGTGCTGAGATAATGACTGTTAACATTTTATTTATTATTTATATTTATATTTATTATTCATATGTGTGTGTGTGTACACTTGGGAAAAATTTTTTTACACAAGCGTATCATGCAATACATATTGCATTGGGACCAGCTTTATCCACTCAGTATGTGTTGTGAGCATCTTTCCATGTCAGTAAGTAGGTTCATTTTTAATGGCTGTACTATATTTCTTCATGGGGATATATAATAATTTCCCATACTGATTCTAACTTATTTCCAATTTTTGATTAGTATTGACAACATTGTAATGAATATGTTTGTACATCTCCATTTGCACACACCCATAGTTATTTTATTGGCTAAACTGCATTAAGAAGAATTGCTAGGTCACAGGGTATGTATGTGTTTTTTAAGGCTTTAAAGAGACACATTGTCAAGCTAAAGTTTAGATATAGCAGTGGAAACTTATTTTATGAAGCATCCATACTACTATACTACTTGAAGACTTTTCATTAAAGTACTTTTCAGTCTCTTAATAAAAATTATTTATGATTGATCACTGGTTACTTACTATTGAAAAGCAATGTCTATTTTTTGAATGAAAACTTTCATTAAAGAAAGATCTTCCCAGCAGCCTAGAAGTTCTGGTATGCTTCTGGGCTGGGGGTTGGGGAGCGGCTATTGGAGAACTCCCCAGGTGGTCCTGATGGGCAGCAAGGTGTGAGAACCACCGCTGCAGACTAGTGCTTCTGATTTTTTTCAGCAGCACTAATGTGATGACCTGTATGTTGATAAGCAAGCACACATTAGTCTGCCACCAAAACAAAATTTCTTGGAAGTCTCCTGTTTTAGCTGGGAAATTCCTATAGAATTTATATTCTATTCCATGAAATATTTTTTGTTTTAAAGAGAATTATTATATTATTTATATTTAATCCCAAATCTAAATGGATTTTATTTTCTTGTATAATATGAAGGAACTAACTTGATTTTAAAAAAAAAATGGGTAACCATTTTTCCCAAAAGCATTCATTGAATGATTTATCCTTTCTCCACTGATCTGAAATGCCACTGTTATTATACACCTTTCGTGTTTCATGCATGGCTTTCTCATAGTATTTCGTCTTTTATTTCATATCCAAAGCCCTAGCACAATGTTATTCATTACATTCAGTTTAAAAAATAATAAAACTGGAATTCTTCAAGGTATCCTGGGTCACCATGCTCTTTTAAGTGCCTGCATGATTTTTTTATACATACTGCTTCCTTGGGCTGTATTGCCTAGCAATTTCCTGCCTAAACTTTCAGACTCTGCTCAGGAGTCACCTCTGGAGGAGGCTTTCTGCCCTTTCTCCTCATCAGAGTTCTCTGCTTGCGTCCATTGCACCTGTGCATGCCTCTGTTGTAACATTTTTCATAGTACTCTATACCATAGTATATACCTGGAAGTACAGTGTTGTTTAGTGGCTTGGCTTTGGAGTTAAGTAACCTAATTGCTCAACCTGGCTTTACCATTTTCCAGCTTTGTAACCTATGACCAGTTGTTTAACATTGCTCAACCTCAATTTCCTTAGGTGCGAAATGAGGATAATAGTTCCTTCATTAGGGTTGTTGTGAGGACTAAATGAGACAGTACCTCTGACATGCCTAGCCCTATATCCAGCGCATAAGTGGCCCTTATTAAATACTATCTATTATTATATCTTTCTCCACAAGACTTCGTATAAGACTTTCTCTTATTTATCTCTGAAACCCAATACTTAGCCCAGATCCTGGCAGGGAGTAGACTGATGAATAAATTACCAACTGTCCTCAAAACTCTTCCCTTCCTATGTCACTTTTATCATTCTCTTTAGAATCATCTTTAACTTTCCTTTTCATTGAAAACAAAAGTATTATTGTTTATCATAACCTAGGCACTGTGCAAGAACTAGGGTGTATAATGAGAGTAAAATATATAGTCCCTCTCCATTGGAGCTTACAGTAGAGCAGGGGAAGTAGTTAAAAAGAAAATGAAAATCCTAGAACCTTTGGGCTCATTCTACTGTTTTTTCTACTTTTGCGTATATTTGTAAATTTTTTTTTTAATAGACAGGGTCTCACTCTGTCGCCCAGGCTAGAGTGCAGTAGCACCATCATAGCTTGTTGCAATATTGAATTTTGGGGCTGAAGCGGTCCTCCTGCCTCAACCTCCTGAGCAGCTAGGACTACAGGTGTATGCCACCATGCCCAGCTATTTTTTTATTTTGTATTTTTGTAGCGAAAGGGTCTCGCTGTGTTGCCTAGGCTGGTCTCAAACTGCTGGCCTCAAGCAATTATCCTGCCTCAGCCTCCCAAAGTGCTGGGATTATAGGCATGCGCCATTGTGCCTATCTGTTTGTAAATTTTCAAAATAAGTTTTTAAGTAAATAAATGAATAAGTGATTATAAAATGTTATGTATTAATACTATGAAGAAAATGAGTAAAGCCTATGTTAGAAACTGTCAGGGGACTGTATAGATCCAGTGGTCAGGGAAGACCTGGGAGTTTACATTTAAGCTGAAACTAGAAATCGAGAAGGAGCCAGCCAGTGGGGACAGTGTTCCTGATAGAGGGAGTAGCCTGTGCCAGGCCATAGGAGGGCAAGTCTTAGCGTAGTCAAGCAACTGAAAGGTCAGTGTGGCTGTATTGGAGTGAGGAGGAATGGAGAAAGGTAATGTTGGAAAGCAGGTAAGCAGGGTCCATGTTGCTCAAGATCTTAAAGACCAAGAGGGAGTTCAGGTTTTATTCCTGTTACAGTATGGTGCTGTTGAAGACTTTAAAGCAGGGAGTAAGCCAATCTAATTTACATTTTTAAAAGGTATGTATCAGAAAGGTTAGAGGGAGACAAGGGTAGGAACAGAGAGAACAGTTGTGAAGCTATTCCAGTAGTTTAGGCAAGAGATGATAATATTAGGAGAGATGGGGAAAAATGAACACATTCAAGATATATTTTGGAGAGAGACTCAGTGGGACTTGCTGGTGGATTAGAAGTAGAAGAGGAAGGGACAGGAATCAAGATTTCTGGCTTGAGAGCTGTATATTGTGTTATTTACTGAGATTTACAAAATCAGATGGAATGTTTTAGGGGAAAGTCAAGAGTTAAACTTTGGTCATATTAAGTCTGAGATGCTTTGAGGCACCACCCAAGAGGAAATGTCAAGTAAGTAGTTGGATATAGGAGAGCTGGAGTCCCAGGGAAAGTTCCCAGCTACAGATACAAATGTGGACATTTTCACTGTAAGGACAGTAATTAAAACCATGGAAATGGATGTTGTCAGATGAGGAAAAAGGAAAGGAAAGGAGGCTTGATATTAAGTTCTGAACTACTATTAACATTTAGGGAGGTAGGATCAGAGGAGTGTGAAGGAGAAAAGAAGTAAGAGGAGCCAAAAACAGAGAAGGAAAACCAGGAGAGGGAGGTGCCATAGAAGTCACTGTAGCCCCCGCCAGTGCTTAGAACAGTGGCTGGCCAGGGCTAGTGTTCAGTAATTACTGGTTGAATGAAATCAAGAGGAGATCATTTCAAGAAGGAGAGAATGATTAGCTGAATTTAGTGCTACTGAAAGGCTCAGTAAGATGAGAGCATGAACTGCTCATTGGATTTTCAACGTGGATATTGCTAGTGATGGAGGCAGAAGTTATGTTGGAAAGGATTGAATAAAGCTTGCATGGGAGGTGAGAAAGTAGGTATAGCAGATTTTTAACCCTTTGACAAAGTTTGGCTGTGAAGGGAGCAGAGAAGTAGAGTAGTAGCTGAAGTGTGATATGGAGTCAAAGAGGAATTTTTGTTTATTCTTTTAAGAGTGGATATACTAGAGCTCTTAAGTGTATGCAGATGAGAATGATACAGAAAAGAGTAAGTGATGGTTGATGGAGGAAAAGGGGGATAATTGCAAGATTGGAGTTTATGAGTAAGAGAGAGGGGTTGGGATCAGGGACATAAATGTTCAGAAAGAGAAGGGTCACTTCTGTTGAAAGAGGAAAAGAAGGAAAAATGGATTCGGATTCAGGTAGGTTTATCCAACTGGTCATGAGAAGGTAACAATCACCAGTTGTATCATGGCTTTTTCGTTCTAAATGAAGACTCATGGACATTAGCTAAAAGGCAGGGGAAGGTGTTAGAGGAAGAGAAAATGGGCAGAAATAGCCGCCTTCAAGAGGGAGGGGATGATTGGAAAGCCAGCTTGGTAGAGAAATCTAGTAAGACTGTGAGTTAAGATTTAGTGCCCATTGGTGACCTTGAGTTTATGGTGAACCTGTTGAATTGAATGCTTTTTAATCAATATTCTTGGTGTGGAGAAGGCAGTTTTTTTGGATTTGGGGATTGTGGAGTTTGGGAGAGAAGACGACCTGGGAAGAGAGTTGAGGGTTCTTGCAAGGGCGTGATCATAATGATTAACTATGAGATCTAAACTAAAGAGAAAAATTAAGTCAGCAGAGGGAAAATGGGGGCAAAGGATAGAAAGTTTCATGGCAATTGAAAACTTCTTTTTATGGGATGCTTGAGCAAATGAGCTAGAAGTATCAAATAGTGGATTGCGTTTGGAGGTGATGCAAGATGGATTGAGTTTGGTGTGATGGTGGGAGAGCGTGGGTGAGGCAGAGTGAAAGAAAAGTCCTTGAAGCTGCTGAGCAGTTTCCAGAGCTGCGAGCCCAGGGTGTTTGGCTGTGTTACCCATCTGGATGTTAAAGTTATGTTGAGTGTGGTGACTAATTGTGCTGGAGAGTTTAACACTGAGCCAGATGTGCTCAAATATCGGATGGTGATAAGTGTTCTGCAAAGAATTAAATTTAGGTTCTGGGACAGAAAGGGGATAGATGACTTTTTCAGACTGGACAGCCAGGGTAAGCCTCTCTGAGGAAGTGATTTATTTTCAGATCTGAAGGATAAGATGATGAGTGGGGAAAATAATCTAGGCTGAGGGAACAGCTAGTACCAAGGCTCTAAAGTGGGTACAAATCCCTCACTTTTGAGGAAAAGAAAGGAGGCCAGGAAGGCTGGAGTTTATTGAGCCAGGAAAGGGTGAAATGAAATGAGGCTAGAGCTAGATGATGAAGCGTTTTGAAAGTCATGGTCGGGAGTTTGGTGCATGTATGTTTTTCTAAGTGCCACAGGGTGTTAGCCAGCCTCCAAGATAGCCCAGATGATTTCACCTCCTGGTATTCATGCCTTTGCGTAGTCCTCTCTCACGCTGAGTAGGGCTGACCTGTGTAGCCTGTGGGCTATTGCAGCAGTGGTGGTTTGTGATTTCTGATGCTAGGTCATAAAGGACATTGCAGCTTCTGCTGCCCTCTCTTAGACCACTCACTCTGAGGGAAGCCAGCCTGTCGCGTTGTGAGGACATTGAAGTAGCCCGTGGAAAGGCTCACATGGAGAGGAACTGAGGCCTCCAGCTAACAACCACCATCTGAGGTCGCCACCTCGGAAGCAGATCCTCCAGCCCCAGACAGACCTTCAGATGACTGCAGCCCCTCGTGCATATGTATTTCATTCGTAAATATTCTGGTGTATATCTTTGAAAGGCAAGACTCTTTTTAAAAAGCTTAAGCATAATAGAATTATCACATCTAAAAATGAATAATTCCTTAATATTATAAAAAAGCCCAGTGGTATAATTTTATTAAAAAAAAATTTTTTTTTAAGTTTGGTTTGTTTGCATTAGATCCAAAAAAGACTGACATAGCATTCGGTTAATGTTTCCTAAGTCTTTCTTTATCTCTAGGTGTTTCCCCTCACTCTTTTCCCCCTCCATTTATCTTAAAAATAAAGTTGGTCATTTGTCCTATAGTTTCATACACTCTGGATTTTGCTAATTGCATCCCCGTGAAGTGTTTAACACATTCCCCTACCTTGAATTTTATGTAAACTGGTAGTCATATCCAGTGGCTTGATCTAGTATAAGTTCTTTTTAGTGGACAAGAATACTTTATAGAAGGTGATATTCACCTCCATTAGGAGGCCCATATTAATAATAGCCAGTTTTCTCATCTTATTATGATATTAACACTATTGAAGAGCAATGCTTAGATACGGTAATTTATTAGGGTTTGCCAAATGATGATATTCTAATTCTGTCATTTGTCTTCATTTATTAGCTAGAGAAATTTTCTCTTATCAACTCTGCGGTTAACCTGAGGTATACTTCATTTAGGAATGGCAGGTCAGATGCTTGATTCTTTCCCTTTACTCACTAGTTTTCAAAATAATAAGTTGATTCCTAGCATTCTCCAAAGGAGAACATTGAAGTTATTAAAATATATATCATTATGAACTCATGGATTTTAACATATTTGATAGATGTGAATCCATTATTTTTTACTGATGATTATTTTCACTGATGATTAAATTAGTGGGAGGAGCCCCTTCAAGTTGGTTTCTGAAGACTTTTTATCACATCCTTGCATTTTGACATGATGAAATGTCTAGGGTCATCTTTTTTTTTTTTTTGAGACAGAGTCTGACTCTGTTGCCCAGGCTAGAGTGCCATGGCATCAGCCTAGCTCACAGCAACCTCAAACTCCTGGAGTCAAGCGATCCTCCTGCCTCAGCCTCCTAAGTAGCTGGGACTACAGGCATGCGCCACCATGCCTGGCTAATTTTTTCTATATATTTTTAGTTGGCCAGTTAATTTCTTTCTAGTTTTAGTAAGCTCTTGCTCAGGCTGGTTTTGAACTCCTGACCTTGAGCGATCCACCTACCTTGGCCTCCCAGAGTGCTAGGATTATAGGCATGAGCCTCCTCGCCCAGCCTCTAGGTTCATCTTGTGCATTTTCTGTCTCAGCTCTGACTCAGTCATTTCTTCAAAGAGCTCTGTTTTTTTTCAGCAGGGAAGAATATATGGAGGCGTATTTTGGATGCTTGAGTGTGTATGACAGACCTTTTAGTGGCTGCTTATCAGAATATCTGTAGAGTTCAAAAAAGATCTTCTTTTACCTTGAATTTGAATGTCCTTTTCCTTAACCTGTGAACTGTGAAGTGCTTTTGTTTGTTTGTTTGCAGGGAAATAGGAAAATGAAGGCTTTAGATAGAAAAAAAATAAATGATGCTTTAACTCCCCTTTCAAATTGTATGTCCTCTGCTATAATTTATTCCTCATGTCTAGTGAAGAGAGATGGTAATAAGCTTTTTGTATTTTCAGCTACGTAATATCAGGCAGTGTTTAAAGATTATCATGACAGCATTTGTTTGATGTATTAATTAAGTCTCTTTTTATCTCTAGATTTCCCCCTCCCTGTAGTCTTCCCTCCCACAGACACATGTCGTCGTCTTGGCATTTTTAAGAGGGCATGGTGTTTTGTTTGGAAAATTTTTGCTTTGTCATACTACCTTCAGCTTATGCTGCATCACTAGTGAAAAATCTTAGTTTTATGACAGGTATGAAGAATATGTTTCTGGTTATTTAGATAACACAAACTCTATTTTAGGTAGAGACAGAAATATGCAATTAGAATGATTATATATTTAAATTATAAATCAAGTTAAAGGGGAATGGAATTTGCTCCCTTGTGGGAAGACTCTGGAATGTAGTTTTTTTGTTTGTTTGTTTGTTTGTTTTAAGAGATGAAGTCTTCTTGTGTTGCCCAGGCTGGAGTACTGAGGCTGTTCTAGGTGCGATCTTAGTACAATGCAGCCTCAAACTCCTGGGCTTAAGTGATTTTCCTACCTCTGCCTCCTGAGTAGCTGGAACTGTAGGTGTGCAGCACTGCTTCTGGCACTGTACCTGGCTGGAATCTAGAATTATTTTTCAGTATATAACAACTTTCTCCTTCCCTCTTTCTCAGTATTCAGGCTCTAGTTCATCAGTGTTATATGTGATGTATTAAGCTTTTTATTCACTCAATTATTCTTTCAGCAGATACTGGACTCCACAGCAGGCATGGTACTAGGCACTGGGATTAAGAAATAAGCAAAACATGGGCCAAAGTGACCATCACAGGACTTTATCTAGTGGGAGAAAGACAGTGAGGCAATCAAATACATAACATGCGTAATTCCAAACCCTGATAAGTACCTTTTAGGAAAAATACAGGGAGCTGTAAGAGTAATTAATGGGGGAATCTGACTTAATCTGGGAGTTCAGGAAAAGCCTCTCTGAGAAAGAAACATTTAAGCAAAGATTTGAAGGAAAAGTAGGTGTTGGAGAGGTGGTCTTTTGGAACAAGGGCCTTCAGGTATAGGGACAAGCTCGTGTGAAGGTACTGAGAAAGGGAAGAGCTTGAAGCCTTGGGAAGAGAGCTGGTGTGGCTGGGGACTAGTAGGGAGGCAACATATTGGACATGATAAATATATACAATTTTTATTTGTCAGTTAAAAAGAAGACTGAAAAAAAAGAACCATTTCTGAAATGAAGGACCCCATTATTGAACTTAGTAGTTAGTTGACAATTTAAAACAGTAGATTAGACACAAATGAAGAGGAACTTAGTGAACTAGAAGATAGAGCTAAAGAAATTGCCCACATGGAGCCCATAGAGACAAAGAGAAAATATAAAAGAAAGATGAAGGTGCATGAAAGGTATAACATAGCATCTAATCAGAGTTCTAGAAGGAGAATAGAAAAATTGGGGGAGAGGCAGTATTGAAGGAGATTTTCCAGAATTGATGGAGGACCTGAATTCTCTGAATCAGGATGCTCAAGCAGGATAAAGAAAGAGAAATATCACCTAGATAACATTAGCAAACATAAGATCTTAATATAGGCGAGAGAGAAAAATCAGACCATAGACTGACAGTTGACGTCTAAGCAACAGTGGCAAGACAGAATAGCGTTGTCAGAGTTCTTTTTTTTTTGAGACAGAGTCTTGCTTTGTCGCCCAGGCTAGAGTGAGTGCCGTGGCGTCAACCTAGCTCACAGCAACCTCAAACTCCTGGGCACAAGCAATCCTGCTGCCTCAGCCTCCCGAGTAGCTGGGACTACAGGCATGCGCCACCATGCCCGGCTAATTTTTTCTATATATATATTAGTTGGTCAATTAATTTCTTTCTATTTATAGTAGAGACAGGGTCTCACTCTTGCTCAGGCTGGTTTAGAACTCCTGACCTCGGGCAATCCGCCCGCCTGGGCCTCCCAGAGTGCTAGGATTACAGGCGTGAGCCACCGTGCCTGGCCTGTTGTCAGAGTTCTGAAAGAAAAATAATAATCTGTCAGGATTGAGAGCAAAATAAAAACATTTTGAAATGAAGGACATTTTTATTATGAATGGAAGAAAGTAGAAGAGTGTTTTTAAGCTTTCAGTTATAACACAGTAGTAAGAGCTTAAACTTTGGAGTGAGGTATTTTGAGCTCTCTTGCCAGTGACGATGTTATTTAACCTTTGTGCTTCAGTTTCCTTCGCTGTAAGATGGGATGACAGTAGTACTTACCTTATGGAGTGTTTTGATAAGTAAGGGAGTTATTACATGTAAAGCATCGTGACTGCCACAGAGTATGCATTTAGTAAATGCTAGGGATTACCATAACCATATTTTACTGGATTTAAGGTGCCATCAGTCATAAGACATACCATTATTTTATGCTTCGCTAAGAAAGAAAGAATGTTGCCCATTATTTGTATGATGTAAGATGACATTATTTGTAAATCCTATCTAGATTTGAGATGTTAATGTATACAGAAAAAAATTGTGCATCTCGAAATTGATAAAATATAGTATTTTGATAGCAAATACCTAGACTCAGGAGGAAACACTGTATATGAAATGTATGAAAATCAATTACAAAAACAGTTTGAAGAAGAAGTTGATGAAATTATTCTGAAGCTAAGATTAAAATGTGCAGTACCCATGGCCGGAGAATTTTATGTATAAAATATTGAAGTTTAAAGCAGCTGTTTATTTTTATTTCATCAGAAATGAATGTGAACTACATCCAAACTGCCCTTGAGTTGGATTAAAATTTCCCAGTGGCTGTTACTTAAACAAAAAGTGTTCTTTAACATTGCATTGGTAAGCACTAGCTTGTGGAAAAGCCAGATGTTGAATGTGGAACATGTTTGATAAAACAGAAGTTTAATATGCAGCTGGAATAGTAGCATTCTTCTGCAGGTGCCTTTTGAAATGTTTTCAATTTTCTTTTCCACTTGGTTTTGATTACCACTTCCATGTAGTTGAGGAGATTTTTGCTAATTTCGTCTGAGCTTGGATGTTGATCTGTTTTACTTGGTTTTATTGCTAATGATACCGTAATATGTGCCAGAGCATATAAGTATCAACAGTCTTCCCAAACATTTTGATTTGGTTAGATCATCTCAAATCATTGTTGAGTTGTTAGCTAAAATGCTGTCATTTAATGTTATCATACACTCCAGAAATCTTTACAATTGTATTATCACAAAGAAGACAATTCATTCAGCTATTAGGAAAAATTTTTGTATTTTGTGTTGTTATAGCAGCCTCATACCTCTTCTTTCTGCCTCTATGTGCTTTTATCGATTAGGAATAAATTAGGCTACATGTAGTGGAAAATCCAACTTTGCTCCACCCAAAT